CTGTGTGTAGCACACTCAGAATTGCACAATGTTCTTTTCAACAGTTTTCATGTGGTGAAATGTCCAGGATGGAGGGGAGAGGGGCACCGATGATCTTTGCAGCTGTGTTCACTGTCCGCTGTAGGGTCTTGCGATCATCAGCATTGCAGTTCCCGTGCCAGACAGTGATGCAGCTGGTCAGCACGCTCTCAATGGTTCCCCTTTAGAATGTGGTGAGGATGGGTGGAGGGAGACTTGCTCTTTTAAGTCGGCGCAGGAAGTGGAGCTGCTGCTGCGCCTTCTTGGAGAGTGATGTAGTGTTGGTGGTCCAGGTGAGGTCTTCTGTTATGTGCACCCCCAGGAATTTAGTGCTGCTGACTCTCTCCACAGTCAAGCTGTCGATGGTCAGTGGGGGGTGGTCAACAGAGTTTCTCCTGAAGTCCATCACAACCTCCTTTGTCTTACTCAGATTGAGGGACAGGTTGTTTGCCCCACACCATTCAACCAGTTGTGCCACTTCCTTTATGTAGGGTGTTTCATCATTGTTGTTGATGGGAACTACCACAGTTGTGTCATCAGCAAACTTGATGATGTGGTTGGAGCTGAACTTGGCAGTGCAGTCGTGGGTCAGAAGCGTGAAGAGCAGTGGGCTGAGCACACAACCTTGTGGGGCACCTGTTCTCAGTGTGGTAGTGCTGGTGGTGTTGTGGCCGACACGGACTGACTGAGGTCTTCTGGTAAGAAAGTCCAGGATCCAATTACAGAGGGAGGTATTAAGGCCCAGCAGGTTTAGTTTGTTGATGAGCTGTTGTGGAATTATTGTGTTGAATGCTGAGCTGAAGTCGATGAACAGCATTCTAACATAAGAGTCTTTGTTTTCTAAGTGGGTAAGAGCCAGGTGGAGGAAATGGCATTGTCCGTGGAGCGGTTTGGACGGTATGCAAACTGGAGCGGGTCGAGTGTTTTGGGGAGATTGGATTTGATATGGTGCATGACTAACCTCTCAAAGCACTTCATCATGATTGGGGTCAGAGCTATGGAACGATAGTCATTTAGGCAGGACACAGGTGACTTATTTGGTACTGGGGTGATAGTGATGGACTTGAGACATGTGGGGACAACTGCTTGGACAAAAAGACAAATTACTTTATCATTTGTTTCCAAGAGTCAAAATATTCCTATTTTTAATTAGATGGCAAGTAATGGAAGGTGACTTAGCTTTTAGGGGCTGTTTCTTTCCCATCTGCTGAATGGATTACTGGTTTAATTAGAGTTTTTATTCTCTCAATTGCTCTTTTATGAGTTTAGATGCAATAGTTGCTGTTCCTGAGGTGGCTGTAGTGTAAATTGTCTGAAGCAGGTTGGATGCTTCTTAGACAGAAATGTATCACAATTACATTTACATTACATTTGCATTTATGCATTTAGCAAACACTTTTATCCAAAGCAACTTACAATAGAAGAAACATCAATTATATGATATTCTTAGCATAAAGAGCTATGTTTATTAGAATGCAAGACTATGATTAAACTCTGTCCTTGTCTCAGATTTTCTTGTCAAGTCTATTCTTGTCTAGTGTATCAAAATATGTTTGTATAATGATTATAAATTATAGAGTTTGATGATAACAAACATAACTGAATGCAGTGCATCAATGCATTTAGGCCCTGTTTACAGCTGGTATCTTTTGTCCACTTTCATTCACTTTCCAGGAGCATATATGGGATTGTTCTGATCTTTTGATCTAATGTTGTGAACTATGGTCTTAAATGACGTACTCATTAGGCCTGTGGCAGTGGAGTCCCACCCTTAAATTAAGCAGTGGCCCATAATGTTTGGAATGTAACTATTATCACATCCAAAAAATGTTGCAGTGCAAAACATCTTAATGGTTTTCAAATGGGCTTTGTTTCCTTAGGCGAAATATAATATCCTATTTTTGTCTTTTGATTTGGAGTGCAATATGATCCCTACATCTTGACAGGTTTTGTGAGATTTATGTAAAATGCGTTCAGTGTGAAATAGATCTCATGACGAAGTTGCTTTTTGATGACTTTTAACAAACTTTTGAAGTGTTTTTGAGGTTGCCGCAGCAAAGTGCAGACATCTCCAAATTCACATTGTTGATCAAGGGAGGTTTGTTATGCAGAAATAGCAGGTTTTCAGCAACATTAATCAGAGACCTCTGGCACTTGAGAAAACGTAATGTATCTCCTGCTATTTTTCCATGAAACATTTCACAAGTACTTCAAAGCATTCCAGAGCATTTTCAGTTAGTAAGATGCATCTTTTTCAGAGTTGTGGGTAGCTGTCCTACCCATCAGCCACTGCAGCATTCTGACCTTGAATGATCTGCGTAAACATGCGTATTCACACAAAGACGAGCTTCCAAGTATACGCTCTCTCATTCCCTGTCTTTCATCACAAATAGACATTTTAGTTGGAAGAAGAGAGGACAAGTATAGAAAAAGACAATGCTAAGGAATGCATTTTAAAATTATCCAAAAATTATTGTAAAATCATCAAACTAATTAAAAACCCATTTGCAAGCAAAATGCCACTCTTCTGAATGATACGTTGGCTGCACAGACTGGTGGATCTCGCAGATGTTTGAGCACAGCACTCTAAATGAAACCCAGCTGAATGTAAAATCATTCACAAACAAAAGCCAAATGGAAAAGAAAGCAGCGGCGCTCACTGAGTGTTCAGCTTCAAGTCAAAGTGCTACGTGTGTTTAAAAAGCTCAGGCAGTTATGAAATATTATCGCTTTCTGTGAGCAACTCTCTCCAATTTCAGCACTGTTTCTATGGAAAAACACACATGCACAAACAACGCTCAAGTACAAAGAGCTCACCGGGGGTTATTTGACACAGCTTTTGGCCAATGAAAATCTGATCTGAACACTAGAGGCCTGAAGGAGCATCCGGTCAGTGTTCATAAACTAAAGGTAGCTCTGACTGAGCTGGAAGCAACACAGGTTCCCTGTCTGCCAGTCCGCTAACATCTCAGAGCTCTCATGTAAAAGCTCTCATTGGCTCTGTTTTGATTTAGAGCTCTGGCCAAAACCTCATGCACCAAGAGCAATTTAGTCAAGCGGAATTCATGACCAGACATAGATGAAACATGAAACTAGATTTTGACATTTCACAAAATAAACTGTGACTGCTGCATTTCTATAGAAACTCACCGACATTACGCTATGGTGATTGCCAGGGCATTGTTATGCAGTTGCTAAGGGTTCTCACTGTGTTGCTAAGGTGTTCGGCATTCATATGCAGTTGCTAAGGTGGTTTGGGTGTTTACTTAAATGGTTTCAAAAGAGGCCAGCCCAAGTCTCTATGATATTCTGATCTTTAGATATGGATTAAGTCCCTCCTTCATCCTTCATCAGAAAAAAGAAGAAGAAGAAAAAAAAAAAGTACACAAGCTGTCACTGGGGCAGTATTTTTTTCAAAAGATATGCCTTTGTAAGTAAAGGGTGCATATCGGTACCTTAAAGGTACATATTAGTACCTAACGTGTACATATTAGTACCTTAAAGGTACAAAATTGTACATATTAAAAATTTACTGTTTTTAATGGACAACAAAAATGAAAGCAGCTGTGGCAACAGATCTATGATCTTTGTCAGCTGAAAACAAAATGGTGCATTCCTATAAACCTGTTAACAGCAGTGACAGAATTTGATCTGACGGCAAAGCAAGGGTTTGTGTCACCCTGTAGGTCAATTTCTTTTTAAAAACACTCACCAGCCAATAGGATGTAAGCCTCTGGGTCATGTGTCTGGAGCTGCCATTCCAGTTAGATGTGAATGACAGTGCTTGCTTTTCAATGAAGTACAGTTGCTTATATAATAATAATAATAATAATAGCATATTCTGGGTAAAAATTGTTTTGTAATCCATTTTTTTTCAGTGTATGCTTAATTAATAGAAAGGCTTGAAAAACTAACAGCTAAAGTTGGTCTGTGCTTTCATCAAACAATATGTTCTATAAACTCAAAAATAATATATTTTTTTCTTGTTAATCTGAGATAAATTACCTTGCATTTTAATTAAGATGAACATTAACACTGCATTATAGTGAAGGACTTTCTTACTTTGTCTACTTTGTGTATCAGAAATATTGTATTGTAGTGTAGTTCTATTTCTCTGCATTAAAACAGGCAATATATGTATTATCAGATGAGTTTTATATTTTATATAGTATGAATGTGAGTAATGTAATACCTTTATTGTTTAATGGCACTTTTTCTATTAAAGCTGAATGATCAACATGCTTTTTTTGTTGTGAATAGTTGTGCTTGTTGTGTACAGGTCTTAAGGTGGCTGAACTGACAATGTTTTCAAATGTTTTTTGAATTTATGAAAAAAAAAAAAAAGTTTACACATAGAGCATTGATGCATGAGAGGAACTGTTGTTTCTATGCCGGGCTCCTGCTGTGAACAGGCTGCCTCTCATTGGTTCATTAGGACCGTGAATATGCGGGTGGTAAAGCAGCGTGGGGGCGGGAAAGCGCTTATCTCTCTCTGCTGCAGCTCCCCTGGCACAAAACATTTTCCTGAATAGTCTCAGTGGTATAGAAGGATCTGTTCACACCAGCTTCCTGTAGTCTGAACCAGATATCTGCATTTATATTGCCAAGATCAGCTGTCTTATATTGCTGATTTGTTGCTCATGCATTACAATAGTTAACACCATGTTAAAGGAACAGTTCAACCATAAATAAAAATGGACATCATTTACTCACCCTCATGTTGTTCCAAATCTGAATGCATTACTTTATTCTGTGAAACACAAAAGAAGATATTTTGAAGAATGTTGATGTTTAAACATTGGAACCCATTGACTTTGTATAGACAAAAAAACACAGATATTGATTTATTTATTTATTTTTAATAGTAAAATTAAAAAATGTGCTTATATATTATATTATATTATATTATATTATATTGCCCTATCAGACATATATCAGACATATTTCTGACAATCAGAGCACAATGTCTTCTCTCTCCACAGGAAGAGCCTTACGAGATGTTCAAGAAGTCAGATAAGCCGCTATACGGTAACGATCGCTTCGAGGGCTTCTGCATCGACCTGCTGCGAGAGCTGGCTGCCATCCTGGGCTTCACCTACGAAGTGCGACTGGTGGAGGATGGCAAGTACGGAGCGCAGGAAGAGAGCACGGGCCAGTGGAACGGCATGATCCGAGAACTGATGGACCATGTAAGTCAGACTCCACAATCCAATACTGTTTTGATTGCACTCAGGTTGGCTCTTTTCCACTCTGTACAACCCTGCAAGGTTGAGCAAAATTGGCTCCCTTTCAAAGCATCAATGTGAATATGTATAGATTTGGTCACCCCCTGCCCACACCAAAGATGTTAGAATTTAAAATTGAAAAAAAAAAAAAACTGGAAGTGTTTATTGAATAGCAATTCAAAAAAAGCCAACATAATCACACAAAAGCTTTGAGACAAATAATAATCATTAATTTTGACTAATTATATTTATTCCCTGATGTTTCCCTAAACTGATTAGACTGATTTATTTCTCAGTACTATCAAAACCATTAAAGCAAATTTGATTTATTTCATACAGCAATACATAAAGTGCATTAAAAAAGTGCAATATTAGTGTCTGTACTCAACAAGGCTGGATTTGCTGCATTTATATCAACAAAAAAATGTGGTAAAAACACAAATATTATGAAATATATTAATGAAAAAATATACATTAATATTACAATTTAAAACAAGTTTTATATATATATATATATATATATATATAATTTTTTTTTAAATGTTATTTATTCCTGTTTTCTATGTCACATGCTCCTTCAGAAATCATTCTAAAATGCAGATTATCTGCTCAGGAAACATTTCATATAATTATCAATGTTGAAAACATATTTTTTTCCTCAATATTTTTATTATTTTTTTTTTTTTTGCTGAATATAAAGTTTGAAGCACAGCATTTATTTAAACTCTTCTGTAAAATTATAAAACTCTTTCATGTCACTTTTGATCAGCAGAACATTGACATGTCCTTGCTCAATGAAAGCATTAATTTATTTAAGATAAAAAATAAAAAAAAACACCCCCCAATTTTGTACAAATTCAAACTCATCTCTTTCCCATATGTTGTGTGTATTCATACTACAAATAACATGAAATGATATTATTATTAAAAACTACACTGCAGTTGTATACATTTCTTTGAATATCCTTCCATCTTAATTCTACTTCTTTGAACTGAAATTTGAATTTTGCCTCCTGTTTGCTGCCTCAATTCAAATTGAATTACATTTTTAAGAAATTGTAGTGTAATTTATAAGGCGTCCCTAATTCAATTCAGGATGGTGCAGAATCCTGACACATTCCCACCATACTGCAGAAGGGACTTGTCAAGATTATACAATGAAAGGAGATGCTTTCAGCGTAAAGAGGAAACCGATATGAAAATAAGATTAACAGTGCATGTGTGCGCGCATAGCAGATGGTACGAAATGCGATAAAATAAAACACGAGCACATACTGCCGAGAGGACACAAAGTGAAAAATCTGGCATTAGTTTCCCCCCATAGAGCTTATTAAGCACACGCACTTTCACAAACACTGCCCTTCGACACCCTCATTAGATTCCGCAAAGACTAATATAGGAATAAACACATTGCTGAGAAGAGTGCAGTACACCCAATATTCAATAGTATCCATTGCTCCAACTGATACATCAGACATATCTCTTAGTCACTGCTCCTCAATTGGTCATGGTCGGATCCTCTGGTGTGAAAGCGGAGGGTGTGTGTGTGTGTGTGTTGTCGTAACATTCCCCGGCACACATACAAGACGAGAGCAGGACAGACTGTAATTGGCCTTGACAAGCTTTCAGAGCATTCTGGAGTTTGCAGTTTGCCAGTACATTGATGTGCTAGAGATAAAAATATCTTGTCAAAGGACTTTAGAAAAAAAAAAAAAGGAAGGTAGCGAGACAACATCTGCTCACTTCTGGCATTAATTTGCCCCCTCTGGGAATAATTATAGACAATTCAATAATTCTAGACGGAAGCCTTTATTTTGAATGAAATTATACCAATTCTAACAGTAGTAAAAGTAGTGAAATTGAACTAAATGTCAGTTTTAGGGGCACAGCCGTCTTAGCTGGTGTCAGCGTTTCGACAGCAGACCCTCCATCAGTTCTGAAGGAGGAATAACGACCTTACCGTGTCAGAACGGATGTTTCTTTATCATGTTGAAATTGTACCGGGTATGATCTCAGATTCATCATACTGTAGTCAAACCAGGGTTGCATTTACGCATAGGCATTCTAGGCACGTGCCTATGCTCGCTCGTCCAGGGGGCCCAAACACAATGAAGAGATATATAATATTTTCTGTTATACTATGGGATATCTACAACAGTAAAAGAACCAAAACCCCTGAAGACATTGAGCAAATAAATATAACAAACAATAGGCAAGGCAAGGCAAGTTTATTTGTATAGCACATAAATGTCTTGAAACAAATCATCTGAACAGTCTTGGTGTGTGGTTGCGACGCCAGGCCTTTAAATTATTAGAGAAATAATGCACTTCCGAAGTGGTTATGTGGCCACGTCGCCGCGCCTATTAATGGAATGGTCTTTCTCAGTTCTCAAACAAATTAAGAACTACATTCAACGCAAGCGCTTATTGCGATAGAAAACACTGTAACCGTTTCCACTGATTAAGAAATATTTTTGTTTGCTTGCGTGGTAATATTAGGCCTATTATATTAATAGGGAAGGGATGCCTAAAAATTTTTTTGCCTATGTCACGAAAAGAGGTAAATCTGGCCCTGAGTCAAACGATAAATCCTCAGTACTAGGCTTCAAAATGTGTCATTTAAATCTTAAGTCATATGCCTTTAAAATAAGTTTAAGGGCTCAAAACTATTATGCAGTATTTAAAATAATTTGTAAAGTGTAGACCAGGAGTTTGAGAGGCACACAATTATTCATAATATGAATGAATGAATGAATGAATGATAACTTCACAGTTGAGTTTAAAGCAAAATTCTCAAGTTATAAGCTTGATTGTATAAGCCACATTTGAAAGTGTTATACATTGCATACTGTACGTTACTGTTCAAAAAGTTTCCACCAAAATATTAAGCAGCAAACGTTTTTTTTGTTAGTTTTTTTTGCATTAATAATAATACACACCAAATCAGCATATTGGAATGATTTCAGAAGGATCACACGATACTAAAGACTGGAGTAATGGCCTGTTTATGTAAAGATCGATAACTATATAGATAACTATATTAACTATATTAGCGTCCACACTAATGCACAATACCGTTCTGTTTATTATAAGCACACACTGCAGTTTTGTCATCTGCTGATTTGAATGTTCAAGCTCTTTAAAACAGGATAAATTTTTATTGTCTGTCAATGTTTTATTAGCTGAAAAAATATACCGTTCCTCTGTGTCATTATCGTTATAGTTTATTGTGTGGATTCTGCTATTCTTTTCAATTTAGAATGATTTTTAAAACTATATCATTATCATTATCATCTTTTGTGTGAATGGGCCTTAATGGCTCCTGAAAATGCAGCTTAACAGGAATAGATTATTAAAAATACAGTAAAACGGAAAGTTATTAAGTTTTAATAATATTTTAGAATAGTACTTATTTTATTGTATTTTTGATCAAACAAATGCATCCTTGATGAGTGCAAGAAAAAAAAATCTGGTCACACTTTAGATTAGGGAGCAATTCTCTCTATTAACTAACTATTAATTATGATTTTCAGAATTTTGACATTTATGTAAATCATTCAGAATAAGGCATTAATATGTGCTTTATAATTATTAATAAACAGCTAATATGCTAGTAACATACATGCTAATGAGCAACTAGTTAATTGTGAGAATTTGGCCCTTAAAGTGTCACCAAGAATCTTACTGACCCAAAAACACCTGTGAAATACACATGTGAAAAGCTGCATAGTTGCTTGCCATCTGTAAACAACTTGTTATGGCATGTTTACAATGGACATGAGTAAAGCATCACATCTCAATTTCCCCCATTATAAACAATTAAGCTGCCTGCACTGGGAGCAGAACAGACTATATGCAGTAGTTTTCTGCTTGCAGTTGTTGTTTTTTCCCTTGCTGAGTATATACAGTGGTATAAACAGTACAGCAGAATCTCTACCAGTTGACACATTTCAGCCCTCACATGGTATATACAGTCACACTCCTCACTGATATGCTAAGAAGACATGGTTTTGATTATTGCAGCTGCGGTTGTCACAGTGATGACGACATCACGCAAGCCACACAGTCAATATCAGGGCTACATTTTAACAGAATGTTGTTTACCTTATGAAGAACAAGCATGTCAAGTTAGTAATCCCCAAAAAAAAAAAAAAAAAAAAATATATATATATATATATTTGAGGGCATGTTGAGTAGCATTCGTGTAGGCAGGGCAAACGAGGCGGTTGCCTAGAGCGTCATTATCTGCCTTCCAAGGCAGCAGCCAATGGAGATGGATCACGAGTAGACACGCCCCTTATTGCTGATTGGCTACAAGTTTGTTTTGCTATTCGGCCCGAATCAGTTTTCTAAAGTGTTTTTGAAAAATCACATACCCTGCCTTTAAGTGACTGATCTGGAATGCTCTACATAGACTGCAATTTGTTTAGGCTAAAATTATCAGCATAATTATAGTGCCTACCGTTTGCAATATTATTTGCATTGGGAGTGTGCCTATTATGCCTTAAAATGCTTGGCTTGCATTTTTTTTTCTTTCCCCCCAATTTGTAGTGTCTCAATTTGTCCCCCCAACATAGTTTGTATGAAGTGACTTTAAATATAGACAACTTTTTATGATTACAATGGGAGTGATCTAGTTTGTGGTGTATGATGTTGCTTGTTTGAAGTGTATACACAGTATAGGCCCAAATGGGAAAGTGAGAGGTTTTCAGTAGTATTAATAATAAACACATTGGATTTTAAAAATGCACATTACTTTTTCTTTCCAGCAAGTAATCTGCTTCTGTAATGAGCATTATTTGTGATCCTTTACCCCACAAACTTAGATGTAATAAGAAAATGAATAGATATTGGCAAGGAAATGATCCTACACACTCTCATAGCTATTGTACATTAACATGAATTGGTTTCATTTGCTCATATTTCAAACAGTCTGTCTATTCCAGTGACAGTGAGGTTTGGAGGTGGACCTTCTTGTCTTTTTTTCTAAAATGTGTTTAGTACGAATGAATTTGTACAAATTCACCACAAATTCTTCATAATGTAAAATAGTGACATTTTCGTACGGATGATACCATACAGAATCACCACCAATTTGTCAAAACATAAAATAGTGACGTTTTTGTACCAATGAAATCACACAAATTCACCACTAATTTTTCCAAAGCATAAAATAGTTACGTAAAATTGTACGCAATCACCAATTAGTCAAAATGTAAAATGTAATTTTTATACAAAGGAAATCAAACAAATTAACCACTAATTCATCAAAAAGTAAAATAGTGACATTTCCGTACAAAAAAAATTGAATGAGTTCACCACTAATTTGTCAAAATGTAAAATAATTATGTTTTCTTAAGAGATCAGGTTGGATGGTCATTAATGAAACAAGCGGAATGCACAAATGAGTCCAATTCTGTCAACTTCACTCAATTTTCTCATGACTTTTGGAAACCGGTGTGCATTTTAAGATATTTTCTTTTACATTAACAAAAATGACCAAAGAATGCAACTTTTATTTGTTACACAATTTTTAGACGTGGACTAAAAATGAAGGTAAAACTGGCCCTGAAAACGTATTCTAAGAAACACAGGCTATTTCTGCTTCTGACAGAGAACCAACAGCGTCAGACCTGTGTAAAACTTTTAACCCCCTTCATTTTCCCTTTTTCATAACTGCTATTTTCATTTTTTAGTCTAGTTGGGTAGCTGAGAGAGTGGATTCGGTTCAGCGCTCCTCCGGCCCCTTAGACCCAGTAAATCACGAAAGGTTTTAGTAAGTGCTGAAACAGTAGCAGGTAAATCAAGAGAGAGAGCGCGAGTCCACGAGAGGGCTTTAAATTTCCTCTTAAACGCTGTGGGGCAGAGTGTGTGATGTGTAAAAGCCCTGTTTTCTTAATTTGATTTCCGCTAAATGCTTCTGCTCGCCCTGATTTACAGTCTATCGCTCTTTTCCCTGTGCGTTATTTGTTGGCAGAAAGCTGATCTTGCAGTGGCACCCCTGGCCATCACGTACGTGCGGGAGAAGGTCATCGACTTTTCCAAACCCTTCATGACGCTGGGGATAAGTATACTGTACCGCAAACCCAACGGCACCAACCCGGGGGTGTTCTCCTTTCTCAACCCCCTGTCCCCCGACATCTGGATGTATATTCTGCTCGCTTACTTGGGTGTCAGTTGTGTGCTGTTTGTCATAGCCAGGTAACATACCAGCCAATTATATATATATATATGTATGTATATACATACCCCACATTATAAGCTCATCTCATTAACATTTTATGCTAACAGAAACAGTTCACTCTTAGATTTAACTTTAGTGGCCTTAAAGGAACGGTTCTTCCAAAAATAACAATTCTAACATTATTTACTCACCCTCATATCGTTCCAAATCTGTATGACCTTTTCCCCATGGAGCAAATAGAGTCAATACTTCAAAGCAAATTAGCCTGCCAAGATTCAAAATGACTAAAAAAATAATTTCAAAATTTCAAATCATCATGAACGATGTCCTTATGTCACATGCATTATATTCCAAGTCTTCAGAAAAGCCATATGATAGTTTCGCATGAGGAATAAATGCATAATATACAGTAGAACAAGTGTCGTATGGACTATGATGCTCTTATGTTGCTTTTTTTTTGTCATTTTGGAGCTTGACATCCTCTCTAACCTCCATTCCTTTTAGTTGGGGAAAAAAAAAAAAACTGCTCCGGATCTTTAATCTTCTATGGGCATGGACCAAAATGAGTATGAGTTAATTATGTCTTAACTGTCCAATCCTGTTCCTGGAGGGCCACCGTTCTGCAGAGTTTTACTGCTTCAGGTGTGTTTAATTAGGGTTGGAGCTCAACTCTGCAGGACAACAGATCTCCAGGAACAGGTTTGGACACCCCTGACTTTGGTTAACTATTCCTTTAAGAATCCCGAATGCCACTCTCACAATATTTACATGATGAAACGTCATGAGGTTCAGCTCAGTCGTTTCCTGGGACATTTATATAAATATGAAATACCTGCAGCTGTGAACAGGAGATAACTAAGAGTTAAAAGAGAAAAGGGGATAAAGAAGCACACACACACATAGCAAACACACTAGAGAGGAGCTATAAGGGTTGCTTTGGTCTTCCTGTCTTGACGCAGAGGAGCTACAGTATGAGCCTTTCATCAGATAATGCACAATAGCACAAACCATAAAAGTAAAGATGCAAAAGCACAGTTTCAAGACGGTATGTGTGTGAAAGACAGAAAATAGGTTTGTGGGAGTGTTCAAGCGTGCGTGAGAGTGAGATTGAGGCATTTTCTGAGGGTTGCTTTGGTCTTCCTGTCTTGACGCAGAGGAGCTACAGTATGAGCCTTTCATCAGATAATGCACAATAGCACAAACCATAAAAGTAAAGATGCAAAAGCACAGTTTCAAGATGGTATGTGTGTGAAAGACAGAAAATAGGTTTGTGGGAGTGTTCAAGTGTGCGTGAGAGTGAGATTGAGGCATTTTCTGGTGTGAAACGCAACCTCCCCCCATCCCTCGCTGTCCCTACTGTGTCTATTCTGTATACTTTTCTTTTCTGATTGGGTTTTTCCACATCCTGCTTCATATTTCCTTTGGAAAACTTGAGATTCTATGATATGTAATGCTACAAAAATGTATATTCACATTTTCCAAAATTGGTAGAATCAAAATTAGTTTACAGTTGGTTGAAGACACTAACAACTTTGAAATCCTTGGGCAGCAGTGAACATCTGAAAAACTGCTTGTATGATGAGCTCTTGTTTCAGAGACTTAGAATTAAACCCCAGATACTGTAGTAAATAGCATTTATCCTAAAGCTTCACTGTTTAAATTAGGTACAATTTAGTTAAAAAATAAAGTCATTTTTATGACTTAATTTATGGATATCACACTTCATTGTTTTTAGTAAGTAGACATTACAGACTAATTGTCCCTTAATTAAGGGAAATTCTGGGTTAAGTGTAAGCTAATATGTTGATTAGAAAATAATTTCGACTCGTAACTCAGTTTGTAAAGACAAACAAAAATATAGCTGCAAGCAGCAGTTAGCAGAACTGTGTACAGGAAACTACTCTAAAAGAGAAAAATTGATCTTTTCATATATGTTCATTGCTTTCAAATTGATTCTTTTATACCTGATAGGGCTCAGTATTTCACAGCACAACATTGACATCTGTCAGTTCATATTTTTCCTCATTGCTCCCAAACTGACAGATGTAGGATGCCTTTTTTTTTTTTTGCACCCAGTAGTAAAAAACTGCATACTGTACATCTCTCTATATGGAGGATGTACAAATGCCAGTTGCCTTCTTCAACAAAATTGTATAAGAAGGAAGGTTTAGTTGTGCCATTCTGATTAAAAATATGGAAAAAAAAAATAGAAATGAAACATATGCACATATTAATTGTTCTAAATGCATTTAGAAAATTGGTGAATTTTCATGTCAACCTTACTAGTCTTACATTTAATTTCAAAATCCATTAAAAACCTATTTAAATTTTGCAAACTTATAAAAGTTAAAAATCTCAAATTCATTGCATGACCCGTTCATGAGAAGAATACGATTTTAAAGGCTTTACATAAATGTCAAATACTAAAGAAAGAGAGAGAGAAAAAAAAAATCATAAAGGAATTTTTTGGTCCCTAGGGGAAAATTGTTCCTTGTCAGGAGAAGGAATTACATGTAAAAAGTCTGTCTCAAGAGAGGTAGCAGGGCTGGTGTTTTGAATATTGCAAATTAAACTACAACCATCCATCCCATAATTAATTTTTTTTTTAATTGACATCTTTAGCTTATGTTTATTTATTTTAGACCCAGAATGTTCCTTTAAATTTGTACTGTAGTTCATTCTTTGAATAAATCACTGAGATTTATTTTAAACACTTTGGTGCTTTCCATTGGTCTTCATTTGAGGCATGGTGGGGAGAAATCCAAAGAAAAGGCCTTATTTTAACCCTAAAACTCTTGGGTTGATCGCATTCAACTGGTCTAACCTAAGAGTTTTATGGTTAATGCACTTGTGCTTTATAAATGTTACTGGCAATATGATCACACAAGTTTCTAACAAGCTACAACTGTCATCTAAGTTGGTTCAGAATATGCACCTCTCACCTTTTAACTGCACTAATGTTAATGCTGGGTAAGTGTTCACCTTTCCAATTTTCAAATAGAGCACAAATAACAAGTACACAATTAAACAGCATGTTTAAACAGAAATATACAGCAGACAAGACCTAACACAAGATAGCATTACTGTGTTTATGTGTTTGTCTCTTTGTACACATTTCTTTGTGTGCATGTGCTTTTGTATGTGCACTATAACGCGGTATATGCAGCAAACATGTCTGCGTGTGAGAGCGAAAGTCAGAGCGAGAGAGAAAGAGATCACAGGGTGACATAATGGGGACTGGTGGAGGGTTTCCTAAGGCTTATTCTCACCATGCAGTATTTAGAAACCTTCCTTCTGGGCACAGTATGAAAGTTAAATATTTACCCTCTTCTCAGAATCTGTAATGCATATCAGCCGTTGTATTTGTTCCTGTTGTTTTACTCTACTTACAAAGTTTCTTCTCTTTTCTGCGAAAGCAGGTGATGAAACAGCTGAGGAAGTCTCAATTGGAAATGAGTTACATTTACTTATGACACTGGTTCTTGCCATAAAACAAGCGTTGCATTGATACTGTAAATCATTCAGCTGAAGCAATACTCAAATGCTGCTTCTGATTCTAATGCTTCAAATAAGTCTTTTTTTTTAGTTTATCTGATCGTGAATGTGGTACGTGTATTTCCAGGTGGAATATGCTTCTAAATGGGCTGCACTTAGGATGATTTAACAGACTGCTGTGTGGGGCTGACTAGATAATTAACTCCAAGTCTAGGAGGGAAGAGGATGGAAAGAAAGCACTGGAAACGACAGAAAGAAAAGAAAAAAAACATATATATGTGTTTTTTTTGTGTTTTTTTTTCATTTATTTATTAATTTTTTTGAGCATTTTTCTCTTATTTTCTAGTAATAAAATATATATATTTAGGTTGCAATGACCTGAGAAGCAAAATTGTTAGACAATTGTTAGACAATAAGCCATTTTTTTTCTTGTTATAACCATAAACATTAGTAAATTGTTTATTAACAAATATTGATGTTTAAAATAAGAAATAAGAATTAGGTGAGCTCTAGTAACTTAATTCAATATTGTTTGTTTGTTTGATCTTGCAGGTGTCTTTTCTATTTATTTATAGATTAATGTTTGCAACCATTTCTACTTCTGTAATCTGCTGAGTGAAACAAATGCTTAACGTTGATTGGAGTAGGTGTTACATACAAGAATGGAAAGTGAGATTTGTTGAAAAAGAAGTTAAAAAGCCATATCAGAGTAATGCATCTTAAAGAAAAAAGGACCTACTTTATATTAAGTGTTGTTAATTACTATGTACCCGACCACCAATCCTGCCCCTAACCTTACCCATATCCCACCTCAATAGCAGCAAAACTTTTGCAATTCAACATGAACACAATATGTACACGGTAGCATGTTACATATTATTTACAGTACATATTATTTTAAGACACCTAATATAAAGTGGGTGTCTCATTTCACTTGGAGCAAGGGAACGAGGAAACGCGGGAGTTGCTCAAAACCAACAGTCTTTAATGCAACAACACAGAATAACACTCAGGAACTCAGGAAGACATTAAATACCGGACGCTGGAGATACGGAAACACAAGGCTTAAATACACAGTAACTAATGGGACACACCTGGGATCAAATGAACTAAAAGGGGAACACCTGGAACAAATGAACAAAAGGACAGGAACGGGAAGGACCAAATAAGGGCATGGAAACACATGAGGAGCAAAACCCACACAAAACACGGAACAGAGTCTGACATAACTCCCCCCTCCCGGGCAGTGGTACCCGTTCTGGGACCCATGGCGGATCAGGCAGTTCGGGGCGCCATGGCGGAGCAGGCAGTCCAGGAGGCCATGGCGGATCAGACAGTTCAAGAGGCCATGGCAGAGTAGGGAACTCAGGAGGCTATGGTGGATCAGGGGACTCAGAAAGCCATGGCGGATTAGACAGTTCAGGAGGCCATGGCGGATCAGACAGTTCAGACAGGCCATGGCTGAGCAGCCTCCGAGGCCGTGGCCCCAGCCCCCGCCCCGGCCTTTACGGCTGGAGCCCTA